GTCTTATACCTTCTAGAAAAAATATAAACGCGCACTACTTAAAATTACAAAACTATAACTTTAGAAAATATACTTCGAGCTTACTAATTAATGCATCTACCTCGCAGTGAATACCATAGCAGTAGAATACTATTTCAAACTAAAAATTACTGTTCTCAAAATTATAAAAAAATAAAATGTTTTCAGAGTTACAGCAAATCTACGTCTCTTCAGAGCTTTAGCAAAACTAGCTCTCTTCAGACTTACTATACTCTTTACAAACGTGGAACAGCGCTCAATGAGCAGATACAACTCTTTTGCTTGCTCATAATCTAAATTAATCATTAATATAGCACACTTTATACAAGTACAATCCACGCTTTTAGATCCTCTATAAATCGAATACATATTGCCATCAGTATGTGCTTATAACTCGAGACAAACAAATGTCTGTCTCGGGCGCCAGGTTTTATAGGAGCAACCATGGAAGTTTTGTTTTTTAAATAAATTAGTATATAATATGTCATATAATACCATTGCCAGAATATTATGTATGGAAATCAGTCGTACACCGAACAGAAATATAAAATTTCAATCGTAGTTAAAATTTTTGTACGAGAGAAATTAAAAATTCCAATTTATTCGTATTTTCTCTTTCCAAAGTTCACGTACACGTTGAACTTTTTCCATAGTTCACGTAAAAGAAATTTGATCAAAATATTTAAACAATTTATTAAAATATTTGCAAAATAATTCATTTTTAACGTAATTTTTAAACAAACAAATTTTTCAAAGATTCATATACTCTTTATAATTGGCCTTTCAAAACAGAAAAATTGATATTTTGAATTCTTTGTTTAGGTCTAATAGTTCCAAAGATATTTGTAGGAATAGCTTTTTCGATCTCAATTTTAAGGGTTATTTTCACCACTTCAAAATGGATATTCGCACGTAAAAGAAAACACATGTCAAATACTTTTTCGTTTTTTACATCACATATAAATTTCATCAACATCGGCGTTCAATAATTGCAAGAATAATCCAATCGAGATTCAGAATTCTGCTTTATTCTGGTTGGGGCACGAGGTCTTTCCAGCGAATTGTAGTTCCTCAAGGAAGGCAGAACCGTTTCAAAATCGAGTCATCTGATGTTCTGGTATCCGTTTCTTGACACGGAGAAATTAAGCCGCACAAAGGGGTGACTCACCAACGCAGAACTTCCTAAAAATACAAAACACCGATTATTTTAAAGGCTCATCTGCTCCTAACCCTCCTTGCAGAAAGTACTCACCGAAATTTCTTACATACTGGCTTTCAACTCACTTATCTCCGCAACCAATGTTAGATCCTCTGAGCAAGGACTAGTAATTCAAACTGTCCTACGTCGGTGCATGGTGTGTACACGTGATAAAGCTGCCATATCTCAGGAACTTATAGAAGTGCTTGCACATCACGCCGAAAAGGCAGAGCCCATTTGTTCACACTGGGGTTGTCTAGGCAGTCCCAATTCAAGTCCGTACTTTACCAGATTCCGAACACAAATCTACAAAAGCGTATAAATTGAAGTGAAGCTATAATCTATTTTATAAGCTATTTTTATTACAATATGAGCGAAATTTTTCCATTTAGTATGTTTGTTTCCTTGTTTTGTTCCACTATATCCCCTTTCACATTTCAACTAAGAGTACTTGTTTGCAGTATAGAGCACTTGTATAATGCAGTAAAAAGCATTTTATAACAGATTTGTTAATAATTCTGCTCTTGCCCCATTGCACATGAAATAAAGTTTCAAAGTATTTAACTTCAACTTACGTTCTTACGTTCTTAGTTAGTAGTTGACATTTTAAACAATTTCCTATTCAAATCAAAATGTACAAGGAAAATTAAGGTCCTAGTAAATATTAATTAAATAGTAGTAATTGTGCAAAGCGACAGCGTTAAGTATTTATATAGCAGACTGAAAATACGTATGTTTAAATACGAACTTTACAAAAATTAGTCTGCACTTACCCTACTTCACCTTATTGTAGTTTTTATTTGTTTGACCACAAAAGCTGAGCAGATTGAGTTTATAAACAATTATAGTTTAGCCATCTTCATAGCGGCGTATAAGAGATTTGTGTCTCGAAACGATTTCCCAAAGGCAACAAAGTGCTTCGGCAACGGTACCATACCCCATGGAGCGAACCGTGAACTTACTTCTGCCTACATGACCACGATAAAAGATTTTAATTTTCATAACTCGTTAGGCTTTAAAGGTATTCCATGGCACTTCTTACCTCCTAATGCACCGCATTTCGATGAACTGTAGGAAGCGGACGTCAAAAGACTAAAACATCGCTTAAACTGCATGATGAGGTCTCACGATACTGTAGTATTACATCGAAGCGTGTCTCCATTCAAGATCAATCGGCGCTATGTCGGACTGCATTGAGGAGTCGGTATTAACACTAGGTGACATAATGCAACTGAAGCTCTGTATGCTCGATCTGAAAGAAAATTGAGTTTTTCGAGTGTCTGACAGGAATTTTAAGAATTTTGTACTTGAGCAGATTAAATGATTACTACATACCCATACACCTAGATTCTTGTGCCCGTGGATCTCCAGATTCCACCATCCCCAAATGTACCTTTGAAGAAAGTAAATCGACTGAGGAATATCAAAGAATTCCTTCTCTCGTGGATTCACATTTCGTAGCAGTACAAAAGATTAATATTACTTGGCGGACGTAAACGGACTGAGAGCATCGTGAACAGTATCCTCCCTCGTAACTTCGCATAGCATAAGGCTATAAAAATTTAACTTTCATCTGAAAATTTTCTTCTCTCGCCGTTTCTTTCACCCCGTCATTTTCTTAATAACACTACTGTAACATTAAGCTGCAGCTGCTGATCGCGATACTCGCACCCTACCTTCATATGAATAAGTAATTTCACAGTCGCGAAACCTGTCAATCACCCAGTTGCATCGAACAAATTTTTCTGATATTTCGCTTGAAAATCTTTCGAAGAGGTAATATTTGCAAAGGGTAAGGTGAAATGGAGTGTCGCGAGATAGGTTAGGTGTGAAATGAATAAATATTGCTTGCAACAGTGTGTTTGCAAGAGGTAAGGTGTTTAATGTGAACTATGGAGACTATGTGTGATATTACAGAAATGCTATTGAATACAATGTTACGGAATCAGTATAGAATGTTCGATGATGCAGAATTGGAGGCTCGACTGTTTATATCCGTTTTGACGCCTTTCCGCAGTATATATAAACTTTTCGGAGAAGGCGTAACTCCTTACACAGTTGAGGGTGGAGTTATTTTTCTCGCAGAGTCCTCCCATTTTCGACGGGGGAAAGAGTATTGTAAATTAGAATTTGAGAGTCGAAAATGTCCTTCCGGACCGCGCTGACCATGTGGCCTAATGAACCGTAACGGGACATGGCTGGCAGCGTTTATGGTAGGGTAGTCTATTGAGCTACGCACGTCCAAAAAACATAAAATAATTTCGCCGACTTACAGACTTTAGGGTAGGCTTAACT